TTCTTTCTTCTTTCTTTCTTCTTTCTTTCTTTCTTTCTTTCTTTCTTTCTTTCTTTCCTTCCTTCCTTCCTTCCTTTCTTTTCTTTTTCTTTCTTTCCTTTTTTTAATAAGAACTCTCCCTGTGAAACAGCAGAGGAGGGTGAGAAGCTTCCTGGCCCCGGGATCAGAAGAGCCACACTCTACTGCTGCTCCCCACCTGGGCAGGTCCCCGCCCTCTGTGAACCTGTTTTCCTCATCTTTGCCTTGTCTTTCTCACGGGCCGGGAAGGGCTGTGATCATCCACTCTCTGTCCACTTTGGTACTCGAGCCCCCAGTGAGGAAGCAGGGAGAGGAGCTGACAGTGGCTGCCCTGCGTCCGTGATTGCTGTTGCCTGATGTGCTGACACCCCAGGGACCTTGGTGTGAGGACCTCAAGGGCAAGCTAAGCTCAGACAGTGGCAAGTGGAGATGCTGGCAATGGGTAACGGCTCTGCTGTTGGTGGGAGGGCTGAAAAACCTGTGGATTTAGCATAAATAGTTCAGAAACATTTTCTCATTTCCTGGTTTTTGTTTGTTTATTTTTAGTTTTTTGTTGTTTTTTTCTTTTTTTTCCTTATTTCTTTTCTGTTTGTTTTGCTTTGCGTGTGTGTGTGTGTGTGTGTGTGTGTGTGTGTGTGTGTGTGTGTGTGTTTTCTCATGTACTGTTTGAGTTTTCAAGGGCTGCCGATTCACTGCCACAAGCTTGATGGTTTAAACAACAGGAATTTATTCTCTCAGCTGTGGGGGCCAGAAGCCCGCAATCCATGTGGGGCCGTTCTCTCCCCAGCGGTTCTAGGAGGAATCTTTCCTTTCCTCTTCCAGCTTCTGCTGGCTCCCGGTGTCCCTTGGCTCCTGGCAGCATCATTTTAATTTCTGCCTCCGTCTTCACATGGCCTTCTTCCCTTTGCGTATCTCTGCATGTCTTCCCTTATGAGGTTCCTGTCGTGGGACTTACCTTATCCACCCTAACCCTGGAACCTCATTTGAACTAATTATATCAATAAAGACTCTGTTTCCAAAGGAGGTCCCATTCTGAGGTTCCAGGTGGGCATGAATTTTGGGAGGACCCTGGTCAGCCCTCTACCTGTCCTGTCCCTGCAAGCCAAGGAAGATGCTTTTCACAGTCCTTTTGTTTAACAGGTATTTACTAAGTGCTTGTGACAGGCTGCGTCTGGCTGGGTGCTGGGCCCTAAGGGGACAGGAACTAGAGAGAGTCAGATCTGGCCGTGTCCTCAGATGAGCTTGTTCTGGGACCGACCTTGGCAGGGTGATCCTGGGGACGGAGGGAGCCAGCCCAGGGTGGAGCCCGCAGGGTGCAGGGGTGAAGGCACCACCCTGCGGCTCAAGTTCTCTGTTTCCACGGACCTTAACTCCGCTTCTCAGATCATTTTTCTTTCCTGGGTGATGAAAAGCAAGATGAGGCAGGCCTTGGGATTTGCCTCTGAAGCCAGAGAGAGCCCCGACACGCAAGCCCTTCTGACCTGTGCGGAGAAGGAGGAAGAAAGCCAGGAGGCAAGGACTGAGGCAAGGTCTCAGCTGGACGAGTGTGGGGCCGACCAGAGCTTGTGTGCAGCGTGGGCGGGGGCAGTGAGCCCTGCCAGGGCCCGGCCTGGGGTCCACTTCTCCAGATGTTCTGGGTTTAACAGTGTAATCTGACTGAGTTAATGAGACAGAAGTTCGTGTGGGTGTGACCAAGATAAAGGGGGTATATATAGCTCCTTGGACCGAAGATCCAAGTTCCTAGGAAGGGTCTAATAGGAAGTTACTTTCATTTCATTCTAGAAACTGATGAAATTACATTCCAGAAGGAAGCTAAAATATTAAGAGAGCCCTGAGTGTTTAATACTCAGAAGGGAGGAAGCAAGCCTTCACCATCTCTTCAGCAGTCTTTACAGCAATGGTTCTCTAAGTGTGGTCCCTGGACCAGCATCTCCTGGGAACTTGTTAGAAATGCAAATTCTAGGGCTCTACCCAGCTCTACCAAATCTTAAGCTCTGTGTATTTTAATAAGCTTAATAAGTTTTAATTCTGATGCACGATAATGTTTGAGAGCCGCTGCTTTACACAAGCATTTAGTTAGCACACACAGCAGTGGTTCCGAAACTTTGCCATATTTTAGAATCATCTGGGGTGGCGCTTTTAAACTCTGTATATCACATCTGTAGCAATGAAATCATATTATCTATGTGGGTAGGGGACAGGGAGTGAGAGCGAAACTTCAAATGTTTTGTTTAAGAAGCCAAGGTGATTCCACTGTGCAGCAAAGTTTGGGAACCACTCACCTATAGTGACCTCAAAGAGACAAATAAAGATACATCTTACAGAAAGCAGAAAGTGAAATGTGCTATAAAAGAACAGAAAAAATACTCTAGGGGTTCTTTTGAAGAAAATGAGATCTTGTTTTTAGAAAAACTTTTCTTGATTTTAAGAACTCCTCTTTTTGCCTCCCTGTCTCTGCTTGAAAGAATTTGGACTGGATGCCTCTCATCGCACTGCCGCACTGCAAGCCACTCAAGAGGATGGCAGCCATTAGTCGTTACATGGAGCTGACCATAGAGCCAGTGCAACAGGTAAGTGGCTGTGGGCCACAGCCAGGTGTCCAGGAAGGTGGAGGTAGTCATGCAAGGCTTTCGGGAGGAGGTGACACTTTAGATGCAGTGGGGGCAGAATGAGTCAGGGAAGCATGTGAAAAGAGAAAAGAGCTCTTGAAGGCCTTGGGTGGATGCGGGGAGCAGAGGAAAAGGAGTTCGGGAGATGAAAGGGTGGACACAATGCTGAAGCTGACCATCATCCTGAGGATGATGGGAGTCCAGAGGACATCAGGACTAGAGACTCAGGGGCAGATGTGTATCTTAGAGAAGTCACTCAAGCAGTGTCAGGGGGCAGACTAGGGAGAGGAGACTGGAAGTGAGGGGGTCAGTAAGGGGCAGACATTAAGTCCAGGAAAGAGGTGATGTGGCCTAAACCAAGGCTGGAGCAATGGGGACAGTGAGGATGTAGGAGTAAGGGAGACCTCAGGCTCCAGAAGACCCCCAGGGTCGAGGCCTGCACGTGGGGTCCTCGGGAGGAAGAGGCTGGAGAGAAGAGGGAAAGAGGTGACCAGAAGTCCACTCCATGTCCCACACCCCACTAAGGCTGCTCCTGTCAAGGCTACAGTGATCCCCAGGAGCTAAATCCCGTTTCTGTTCTGGTTGAGTTTCAGCTCATTTGGCCACTAGCTTCTTCTGATTTCTGGGGCCCTTCCTGTTCTGGTTTCTCTGCCACCCTCACAGGTCTTTCTTCCCCATCACTTCTGGCTCCTCCTGCTGAACTCGACTTCCAGGTTGCAGTCCCCCAGGCTCCACCCCAGGAGGGCTCCCTCTCTGGTCCCATAGCCCAGCGTGCCAGCTCGTGCTGATTTCCTCAGCAAGCCTGTGTCTCCGTCCTTTTCCTCTCCCTCAGTTCCAGTCTTGGCTGCCCGGCTACCTCTTCATTGTCACCACGTAGCATCGCACACATGCTGTGTCCAAAACGGAATCCTGGGTTTCCATGCCCAGACGGGCCCCTCTGCCCATCTTCCTCTTTTCAGTAAGCAACACAACTGCCCTCAGAGCGGGTCAAATCCAGAATTCTAGTCTTCCCCTCACTATGCGCCGGTGTCATCCAATCCATGTGTGAGTCTTGTAGATACTCCTTTGAAAGTATATGCAGCAGCTTCCCAAATGGTTTTCCTCCCACTGCTGTTTTTGTCCCACCCTTCCATCTGCAGCTAGCAACCGGAGGGTCTCTTACAAATGTAAATGACATCTCGTCCCTCCTCGGTTTAAAACCCTCCTCTGGCCTGCCATTTCATGCAGAATAAAATCTAATCTCCTAACACAGACTTGTAAGACCCTCCCAGCCCCGTGCTCACCCCTCCCTGACTGCCTCCTACTCTCCCCTTCTTCAGTCCTCTGGCTGCACAGAATTTCTCTCCATTCCTCTGCCTACATGCTCTTCCTCCTGATTTTTTTACGTGGCTTCCTCTTTCTTGTCTTTCAAAATTCAGTTAAAATGTCACCTTCCCCCACCAGCCATTCAAAAGTAGCCTCCACCCCTCTGCTGTACCGTTTTATTTTATTACCTTTTTAAATGCTCTGCATAGCACTTATCACAGTCTTTTTCTTTCATTTGTTTTCTGTTTCCTGCTGGGATATAAACTTTGTCTCCTTCTGTTTTGTTTGCCTACATCCTGGTACATCAGGTAGGGAGCTTTTGGTACAGGTGTGTTTGGAACCTGGAGTTCAGTGGTAGCAGCCCCCACTGAACTGTCTGCGGGACATGCCAGTGCTCAGAGAGAGCTGGGCCTGAGAGAGAGGTTTTACTCTTTGTTGTTCCTTGGATAATGGGTGCAAATACCCTGTAGGTGATGTAAGTGAAGCTCAGGGAGATTCAGAGCATGCTTTCACAACTGAGAGCCCACTTCAGCCATTAAGCTCTTCTTCCCACGGGAAGGTGGGTTGGTGAGTGGGTGGGTGATGAGAAGCCCTGGGTAGAGCACAGGCGCTGAGCCAGAGCTTTGCACTAGAAATTTAAAAATCATGGAAGTTTTGAAAAATAATAGTTCAAAAGTTGCGTTCACTTGAACCCTTCCAGTACCTGAATCTTGAGTGGCTGCCCGCTGGGGAACACACTGCTTAAAAGAAGACTCTGTTCCTCCTTCGTTCTCTTCCACGGAGGCCTGCCAGTACATTTTTGAGCAAATACTTCCACTCGGCCTCTTCCTTCTGTGACCACCAGAGGGCGAGAGGTGTCTCCAAGACAGCTTCCCGCAGACAGCCTGGAGCCCCAACGTCCAGCCAGGGAGGGAAGCTGGCTCTGGGCTCTAGGACCACCATCCCCATGGTAGTCTGGTTATTGAGGGCTGACTTCTTGCCAGGCTCTGGGTAAATAACAACAGCCAACATTTCCATGATGTTTATTGTACTGGTCATAGTGCTTAGACTACTGATCTAAGTGCTTTACATAGATTAACTCATTTAATCTGAACAGCCAAGTCTCGAGGTATTATTCTCATTTTACAGATATGGAAAAGGGGCACAGAGAGGTTAAGCAACTTGGTTAAGGTCACACAGTTTGCCGATGGTAGAACCGGGCAGGATTCAGAGCTTTCTCCACCTGATTCTGTGCCCTTGACCACAATACTACACAGCTTCTTACTTGGTAAAATGGCTGAGTAAGCATCAAGGAAGCACTTGACAAATGGTTGTTTTTTAAATTATTATTAACACAGATCCTTATAACAATCTGAAGTAGATACTATTATTATTTCTATCCTTGTTATTCACTAATCACTAATAATTTTATTATTTTAAAATGAGGCACAGAGAGACAGGGTTAACTCACTTGCCCAAGATCCTATAGTTAGAAAATCACAGAAATAGGTTTCAGACTGAGCCTGTCTGGTTCTGGGACCTGAGCTTTCATAGAGAGGACATGCTCTCTATGCTGCCATCTCATGCCTGCTATGTGAGCAAGTTTTCCCTTTTTTTTTCCCCCCATGAGGGTGTCCCGATGGTCATGTGATGCCACGTGCCTTGATATATCCTGTTTGGACTGCCATCTGGAAGTGGGTGAAAGAGCCAAGGCGGTGCTCACCCGTCCCAGCATCCCCCCCTGAGCACTGGTCCTAGGAGAACTTTTCCAGGAGATGCAGATCCAAGCTGAGCCTGAGGGCCCGGGGTGTGGGGTCCTAGGAATCAACAACTTGGAGCACTAGAAAATGCCATTTTATCTGTTGACTCAGGTGTGGTCAGGCCTGGGGAATTTATAGACTTCTTCAGTGTTGTTGCCTGGGAGGCCTCTGCTGCTCCACCTCTGCCACCTGCCTGCACTGCCCAGAAAGCTGCCTTCGTCTCCTTGGTGGACTTTTGTCCCTTCCAGCCCACTCTCACAAGGAACTGTGCACTTGACCCATGCAGGGCTTCAGAGGAAGCAAGACAGGAATTACCACTCCTTCTGTGGGTTAGGAAACTGAGACTCTGGGATAAATATTTGACCCAGATCACACGGTTAGTTGGTGGAAGACATGGGTCCAGAAGGCAGGTTGTCCCCACCGTGGTGTGTCTGTGGGATTGACTGCCTGGCTCTGAAACCCCAGCCCAAGGGCTTTGAGGCTCTCCGAGAAAGCCCCTGTGGGAGGAGGCTCTCTTCTGAGATAGATAGGTAGGCAGGTAAACAGATACAGAATCTCACAAGTTGCTTCCTCCCTTAAACCTTCCCAACTCACTTCCATATGCTGCTGTTGGATGCGCTTGTTAAGCCTCTGTGGAGTGCACTTTTGGCAAGAGCTATTCAAATTACAAGTGCACATACCCTCTGATGCAGCAATTCCACTCCTAGGAATTTATCCTTTAAATACCCTGAAGTTTTGAATGTACAATATAATTTACCGCAGTCAGTATTGATTGTAAAAGCAAACAGAAATGCCCTAGACATCCATCAGCAGGGAGATGATTAAATAGATCGTGAACACCTACAGCTAAGGGGACGAAAATATGCTATAGAACTATTTCTAAGGCATGTTGTTAAGTGAAAAACAAGCAAGGTACCTAAGCGAGTGTAGAGTGTGCTACCATTTGCGGAAATGGGGGAAATATGCATGCACTTGCTCATGAGTTCACAGAACATTAAACTGAGCGCAGGTTGCCTCTGGGGAGAGCTGGGTAGCTGCAGCAGGAGGTGGAGGCGGTGCTACGTGCTACATACACCCCTTGGTACCTTTTGAATCCTGGAGGATGTGAATGCTCTGACAGTGCAAAAATTAAGCAGCAAACAAGCCCCCGCCTGCCCTTTCCCGCACACCTTGCAGGCAGGCTGCAGTGCCACCAGGCTGCCGGGCGACGGACAGACGAGCGCAGAAGCCGCGTCCCTGCAGGAGCCCCCCTCGTACCCTCCGGTTCAGGTCATCCGGGCCCGCGTGTCCTCCAGCAGCTCCTCCCAGGCCTCCTCCATCAACTCCGACCTCGAGGTACGGCTGTGTCCGCCGGCGGGTGCTCGGCGTCCGCCTTCACCCGCACTAGCCGGCGTCCCCGCGGTGCCGGCACCGCTCTCCTCTCACCCGCCCGCGCCGACCTCGCCAACCTCGCCAACCTCGCCACCTCGCGGCCGCTAAGTAGTAAATAAGCTGCCTGAGGACTGCCCCACGCCGTCCGCCCTAAGAAGAGCTTCCCGCGGTCAAATGAGTCAGGGAAACACTGCGCACTGAATCACTTGGCACAGTCAAGTCTTACAGAAATAAATGCTGAATAACGAACTTTTTAAAAAATTGAAGTGTAGTTGATTTACAATGTGTTAGTTTCAGGTGCACAGCAAAGTGATTCGGTTATACTTATGTATATCATTTTCAGATTCTTTTCCATTATAGCTCATTATAAGATATTGAATATAGTTCCCTACACTCTTCAGTAGGACCTTGAATAACCAGCTTTTTAAGAGTCTCCGAGTTTCCCAAACCCATTTGACCATGGAAGCCTTTCTTTCCCCACGAGGAGCACCAGAATTTTTGGATTTGTGAACAAAACACCGCCAGTGGGTGTAACTCTTGGCCCCACAGCTGTGGCTCTCAACCCTGTTCAGAAGGAAGCTTCCCTTTGTCTATGACGAGTGAGAACAAAGTGATGGACATGGGGTGTCAGCAAGGGGAGGGTCCTTCTTTCGGGTTCTGTGTTCTCCCACTGTTTTTGGTGTTTAAATGCCCTTTTATGAAGTGATTTTAATAGGAGGTGGTATTTGGTGTTGAGGTTTTGGTTTTGGTCTTAATGACTTTATTTGGCCGAGTCATCAGTCAGCTGTCCTGAGTCAGTCCCCCAGATTTGTTCAACTCATAGTGAACCCTGAAATCCAAAGATTCAGAGCTACCCATCTGTGGGGTGGAGCCAGATCCCTCAGTGTCAGGTCCGGGCCGTGCCCACCTGCCCCAGCCTCGTGCCCCTCCGCTGCTCTCACCCGCAGGCCCGCCCTGGCTGTGGACTGTCCCCTCGTCCCCAGGGCTCTGGGCCTTTCCCCCTGGGATTTTCTCTGGCCCAGTTTCCATGTGTCAGAATCCAACCCAGATGCCTCCTGCCGTGTGAACTTACCCCCCAACACACACACACACCAGAGGTTAAAGGCTCCTTCCCTTGGTGCCATGGTGTATGCCTCTCTCACACCCCTTCTGTTGTTTGTCAGGTAGCCTGGTGAACAGTAGGGGCCTGTGTCCCCCACCAGACTGTGCACTGGGGCCTGGGCAGCCCTCATCTCGATCTCTCAATCCTGGAGAAAACACAGCTGGTCATTGAGGACTGGGTTTTGAGTGAGGAATTCTGTACCAGACCAAGGACAATTTAGGGTCCATGTATCCCCGTGTCATTCATTTGCTGTTGTTTATTTCTTGGATCTGGTCTCAGAATGTGTAGGACACTCAAGGTCTGTGGCTTGGCTGCCTGGAGCCAGCAGGCTGGGCAGAGTCTAAGGCTAAAGGGAGTGAGGGAGCCTGACGGCAAAGTGTCTTCATGAGGAAAAGGGACATTTGAGTTGGTGAGATTGGGGTGGGGTGGGGGGCACATTGGAAGCAACACTCGCTCTGTGGAAGCCCTCAAATGGGGGAAGGATTGAACAGTGACCTTGAAAAATGTAGCAATTTGTCTTCGTGGCTGGTTTGGGCCATTTCTGTGTTTCACAACCCTTTTTCCTCCTCTGCTCTATTTTCTTTCTTTTTAGACGTTTATTTTTTTAACTCTATGAATCCAAGGGGACAGCGTCACACTCTCAAATAAGGCAGATGGAAATGAATGCTTTATCCTTGTTAAACAAAGAACGTATTTTTAGAAGCTCAGCGCCCCGATCCAGCCCCGTAACCATCCCCCCCAGCACAGTCCTCCTACTTTGCTCCCTAAAACATCCGTACACTATACAGGACAGAGCTACCAAGCCCTGAACAGAAATAACTTAGAATCTCACTAAACATAGACACTGACAGGTCAACGGGCCTGTAAAACTCCCAGTAGAGATTGTTTAATATATGACCAGGGGTCAGTGCAGCTTGTCAGGGATGTGATCCACCAGGCCTTCTGGTAGTCTGTTTTCTTAAAAGTAGTGCATGTTTACTGTAAAAAACTTGAAAAATGTAAAGAAGAAAATTAAAATTAACCCACAAACCTATCAACCAGCGTCTGCCTCAGGGTGGTGGGATTGTGCGGGCTTGACAGCCTCCCCAGGTTTTCGGAGCAGGATTCCCCAGAGGTCCAGTTCCTGATGGCTGAAAGGAGCAGGAGGGGGTCTTTTATCTGACATGTGTGACATCACACTTCACCTACCTGTTTGGTCACTCATGCAGCAAACATGTTCTGAGGCAGGGGGATTTGGAAGAAGAAAATATAGGGACATGTGGGCTGGCCCAGGGTGGGAGGTACTTGGTAGACGGGTCACAGTCTGACCGTCACCTGGCTCTCCAGACCACAGCTCCCAGGGGCTGAAGCCTGCAGTTGGAGGCCAGGCCCCCGGCCATCACCTCCTCTGGTTTGTGATTTCTCTTGCTCCCAGAATTGCACAGTTCAAATGCATCATAACACTGGACTGAAACACCTGGGGCGTCTGTCCCCACTCTCTGGCTACGATGGGCATCTGTGCTCTCGAGTTGTTGCATCTGTTGCCAACCAGCTGGGCTCTGCTTGGCCCATAAGGGAACACCTGCATCCTCCCACTGCGGAGGCCTGGGAGCCACTGTGTGTCTGGAGTGGGGAGGGGGAGGCAGGAGCCAGGGGCGTGAGAATGGAGCCAAACACCAGATTGCTGTCTGAAGAGGCTCAGGTCCTTGGCCACTGTGTCCTGCTAATTCTGTGCCTAAGGCTGTTGACAACCAGGACTGCTTGTTCTCTCTCCAAATCCTGCTTTCAGCACCAGCAGACCAGGACAGATTCCCTTGGTTGTTTGTCCTTCTTAAAGCCAAATTATTCTTTTAGGGTTAAAAATTTGTTAATAAAAAGAATATATATATATGTATATATACACACACACATCTACACACTGACTCTAAAAGTACTAATTTTATTTTATTTTTTTAATTGAAGTATATTTGATTTACAACGTTATGCAAGTTTCTGATGTATAACGTAATGATTCAGTTATACATATGTATCCAGATATACATATACATGTATATATATTCTTTTTCATTATAGGTTATTACAAACTATTGGATATAGTTCTCTGTGCTATACAGTTGGACTTGTTGTTTATCTATTTTATATATAGTGGTTTGTATTTGCTAAGCCAGGCTCCCAGTTTATCCCTCCCCTCCTTTCGCCTTTGGTGACTGTAAGTTTGTTTTCTGTCTGTGAGTCTGTTTCTGTTTTGTAAATAAGTTCATTTGTGTCATTTTTTTTAGATTCCACATATAAGTAATATCATATGATATTTGTCTTTCTCCATCTGACTGACTTCTCTTAGTATGATAATCTCTAGGTACATCTATGTTGCTGTAAATGGCAAAATGGCATTATTTCATTCTTTTTTTATGGCTGAGTTGTATGCTATTGTATATATGTATGTATATACCACATCTTCTTTATCCAGTCATCTGTTGATAGATACCTAAGATGCTTCCATATCTTGGCAATTATAAATTGTGCTGCTATTGAATACTGGGGTGCATGTATCTAAAAGTATTAATTTTAGAAGAAAATACATGTAAGTACAAAGAAAGAGGCCATAGCATTCCAGTAGGTACCAAAGGCCAAAAGTGGAGTTCAGGACATAGATTCTGCCTTACATAGATCTGTGTGCTTCCTAGGGAAGTGGCAGTGAGAGACAGTACATCTCAAAGTATGTGAGCCATCAGCTGGTTCCCCCCTGGGTGAGGAAAGACTCCCCTGGGCCCCCGTGGGCAACAGGGCTGCGCAGGAGAGAGAGCACTGACCGGGAGTCAGGTGGACATAAGGGTTTGTCTGGGTCTCGAGGTCCGGCCAGGCGGGCTGGGTCCTGCACTGGAATTCTTGAGTTTCAGTGTCTCCCTCTGTAAATGGAAATCGTAAGACCTGCCCTACCTGTATTACAGAGTGATTATGAGGATCAAATGGGGGTGCTGCCAAGGCTCAGCAAGACTACAAGTGGTGTGAGATGTAGAGCAGGGGACAATGAGTGGAAAGTGGGCTGGGGCCCCCACGCTGCCCTGAGAGCCGTTGAACCAGTCGACACTATTCACTTCTCTGGACTTGCTCTGGAAGTGGAGCTGATGAGCTCAGGGAGCTAGCGAGGCTTTGACAAGGTCGGAGTGTGGAAGGGCTGCGATGCAGTAGAACATTCCCACAGATGCTCAGCTTTGGACTGGGCCATCTTGAAGGTCCCACTTAGCAAGTGACCCTAAGTGCAGAAGTGTATTGTCGGAGGAGGTAACCGGAGGTTAATTACACTGTCAGTTCTTAGAGGCGGAAAGGCTTCCATCAGGAAGAGAACAGGGTCAACCATCAGCAAAACGGGCTGCTGCATCTGCCTAGATGCCACTCAGAAAACGTCCTCTGGCCTCCTCTACAAGCATGTCCATCACATAGATCCAAGGGAGAGCCTTTTTGCTTCCACCTGGACCAGTGCCAGCACGCCAGCCTGAGCTCCTGCCTCCATCTCCCCTCCTTTCATTGCTGTCCTACCCAGGATCTTCTTAACACTCCACCAGCCCCACGACCTCCCTGCTCTCAGGCTTTCTGTGGCTTCTTCCTGATTAATCATTTACGTCCAGACCCCTTATCCTGACCTCCAGGACTCTTCACTGTCTGGCCCTGGGCCAACTCTCCAGGCTTTTCTCAGCACCTCCAGCCAGTTCTCTTCTCTGCATGCCTTTGCTCATCTCAGTCTTTTCCTACCCTTCAAGGCTCTGGTTAAATCCTGCTTCCTCCAAGAAGCCTTCCCTGCAATCCTGAGTAAAGCTGCTAGACTTAACAGGGGAAAAATACAGGACTGCCCATGGGGTTGAATTTCAGATAAACATATCTATAC